ATATATATATTGTAAAACACATTTTTAAGGTATGCTTCATTTATGGGCAAAAATGCTCAATATCAGGGATAGAACTTGTTTAAATATAAAAGGAGACATTGTTGTCAACCCCGAGATACGATAGTCTCTTTCAGGAATGAGCCCAATTGTCTGGTCATATATGTTGTATGTTGGCCCGACAATTTATATATGCTGGCGACTGGGACATCGTGGCCACAAGGCCAGGTACTTCCTCGTTTATTGCATTAATTCTAAGGGTTTTTGTGTACACAGTAATGATTACTTTTCAAAGGATATATCTGAAAATAATTCTAGATTGGAGTACGGTACTTTATAGCTATTGTATAGTATTGTTTGTTAACATTCAACTTACGGATATATCACACACTTTCTTCATTGGTACATGTAGAATGCAGTACTTTATCTGGAGTATGTCTTCAGCTTTGTATTGGATGGAATTTATTAAAACTAAAGGAATAGTTTTGAGGCGGATCAGCGAAATATAAAGATCAAGTTTTCCAGAAATTCACATTCATTCTACAAGTCAAATAAACCCCAACGTGTATACGTTATTGTTTTCATTAACCATCAGCGTGTCCAAGTTAAATTAGAACGTCCATTCATATTCTCTAGCAGAGTACAACACCAACAACAGACCCATTCCGCGAATATCGTATATCGGGAAAGTGTGAAGGAATGTTTAGATAATATATTGAAAATTGTGAATTAATCAAAGTAATAGGGTATTCATTGAAATCGATTTCATTAGCTTCATTAGGCCAGTGAGTATGTCTGCTAAATCAGCTTTTTAATTATTACGCCATGTTAATTGCCAATGTGAATATAATTATGAAGAGATTTGAGATAGAGAATGAAGGAAAATTTCTGTATGATAAAATGATTAAAGTGACGATCGCGCAAATAAACAATGAAATGTTTTCACTGATATATAGGACCAGCTACTTATTAATCAAATAAAATCTGCACGAAAACATGGCGCTATTTAGGTATTAATATATCTATCACAGATACGTGTAAAACGACTAAGTTGGACAGATTTGATCGTTATCAATAATGCGATATTATGATTGATGAGCAAATGTAAACAGATTCAAAGATTCAGTTTTATACATGTCATTGGTATAGATATGTGCTTAATTTTGTCAGATAAATAGCAAATATATTATAATTACTGTAATTCTATCTGTTCTTTAAAGAAGAATACAAATTATCTAATGCAGTTTACCTGATTCTTACCTGAAGTCCTTCAGAACTTCATCTGATTAAATTTGTTGGAAGGATTACATATGCACACGACAGATGGATGCAGATATGACGGGTACAAAGTCGATGCGGATATGTACCTCAAAATCAGTAACGAGGAATCTAAGAATTTTTACAAAAATACTCCCAATAACAGGGAAAATGCATAATTATTGAAGCCAAGAATATAGCCACGGAACTAAAAATTGATGATAGGATTCACAAATTCTACAAACAAGGAGCATTCATCACAGTTAAAGACCACAAGTCAATTTGCCTAAACAACACACAATACTGAAATTTCCAAAACAATTCTCAAAACCCAACTAAAATAATTACTGCAAAATCAGCAAAAACATCATTGAAAGAGCCTGCAAATGCACTAAGAATTAACTAGTAGCATAAAACAGCAGAAGCCATAGAATGATTTCCTAATATAAAAAGGAAGAATAATTGTCTATTCATACACTTCGATATTTCTGACTTTTACGCGTCTATCACCGGGAATCTGCTTATGACTGCTGTAAATCTTTCAAAAAGTTACTGTCCTATTAGCGATTACGAGATAAATATTATAAAGCAATTTCAAAGACCTATACTATTTCATAATGGTTATCTGTGGACCAAAAGAAGTAACCTGAATTTAGTATTGTTATGTGAGAATACGATTCAGCAGAGGCATACGAACTTGTTGGAATACTATTGTTACGATGACTTATATTTATTTTCGATATCAATTACGACGGACACTATAGAGATGATGGTGCTATTCTCCTCCATAAACCGAGCTCGTGAAATATAGACAGTTTGGGAAAGGGATTGAACATTTTTTTAAACATCACGAACTAAACATTAGCATCAATGCTGAAGTAATCAACTGTCTCGATGTAACCGTATATTTGAATAATGTTTATTATAAACCATACACAAACGATCGATATTACCATGGATACGTTAGTAAGGAATCAAATCACCATCACAAAATTCTACATAATTTGCATAAATCAGTCCAAGTTAGATTATCCACCAACTCCATCAATAATGAAATATCTGATAAGTCTAAAATGAAATATATAAAGATTTTAGAATTAGGAAATCATAAGGTAATTTAGAGTGTTTAGGAATAAACAAAACATTTAAAATAATTAAAAATAAAAAAGAAACACTGCAAACGCAACACTATATGTTTTTATCCGCCTTTTAACTGTAATGTCCAAACAAATAACAGAAGATTTTTCCTAAATTTATTTTATAAGTACTTTAACCTTTCACCAACACGACAAAATAACTAAAATAATGTTAAAATCAACTATATCTGCATTAATAACATAGATATATAAATATCTCATCATAACAACATTATATTAAATATATTTCAAGGAAGGACAACATAAAGTCTCCTAAAAATAAAAGCAACTGACGATAAAATATGATCTGTCCCTTAAAGGGTCGATATATTACTGATAATATTGTATACCGAGCGAACATACATTCCGGTAACGATACTGAATTCTATTTTGGCTCCATTGAAAATTCATGGAAATTAAATTTTTACTATATTCGAATGAAATTACGTAATAACTAAACTGCACTTCTCTCTTCAAATATTTGTCACAATTAAAAGATGATGGCATTTTACAATCAATGAACTGGAAAATTATATCTAGACCTAATTTTATAACGGAAAAGGAAATAAATATGACTTATGTCATGCTGAAAAATCGGTTTCCTAAAACACTTAAATAACCATAACTTATTAAACAAGAGAAATGAATTGAATGTTACATGTAGGCATAAAAATAAATATCTGCTTAAATATGTTGATCCAGATTAATATTTAATATAAATTACAGCTTATTTCTTAATGTAAAATACTATATATTTTGAATATAATTTTATGTTTTTTTTTTGTTAAATAAGAACACGCAATCTACCTTTAATTAAAAAAAAATTAAAATGATTATTCAACACTCAAAATAGTTTATAATTTTTTAATTCTCTGCGATTTTTCATGCATGCATATATTAATGATGGTTATTTTAATTGCCAAATTTCTAAAATTAAACATTAAAATTATATATATATATATATATATATATATATATATATATATATAAATAAAGTATACAATTTAATATTACAAGACATATTAAAAAGTATTAAATAATAATAAAAAAAAAAAAAAAAACTCAACAACAAGGTGGGGAGCAACCGGTTTCGCTCCTGCTCGTCAGGCTTCCACGGGAGATTGAAAATTAAAACAGAGAAATGTACAGTAAGAATAGGTGGAAAAAAATTAAACACACACACACATATATATATATATATATATATATATATATATATATATATATATATATATATATGTTCAGAGGCAAAGAAGGAACTAGAGGCAGATGACAGCGAGTCCCAGCAAACACTCACGTTGTTTGCACAAAAAGAGGGCTTCGGGACCCGTTGTAAAGTGCCTCCAGAACCTTCAGAGGAAATACAGAGGTGACTGGGCCAATATATATATATACTTATACCTATATATATATATATATATATATATATATATATATATATATATATATATATATATATATATATATTCAATGTTCAATGAAAATTTCCTATGATTGTAATAATTTCAAATAGTATGACATTGTTCACAAAGCTAATAATCAAGCAAAAACAGGAATGAAGCCTCAGAGATTGTTTCAAGTGCAAATGCAAATGCATGAACGCCTCATCCTTCAGACGTTTACTGTAAAGATTGTGTTAATAATATGTTCTTCGGAAATTTTTCCCTTTCAATGCTTCAATAATTCTTCTCAAACTATCTTTGGATCAAAAAATCTTTAGAATGGCAATTTATGATGGAATCATATGAAACTATTTGCTATAAATGGCAAAAAAACCGATTTTGACTTAGTTTGTCACAGATTTCTTCCTCTTAGTTGAAATAATCTAAACCATACTTTCACGTTATACAATTTGTGTATTATGTGTAATTTACATGGAAAAATTGGAAGCATCGGAAGAAAAAACGGGCAGTTATGGTCGAAAAACGGGGTTTTTGAACAATTTTTCGAGTGTTACTGTAATACACTGTGAAGCGAGCTGGACTAAAACCCCTCTATCTAATTTCTTGCATGATAGCACCCATTTTACAACATGTTTAAAGAAAATTGGATACAAAAAGGAAGTTATTCAAGTTTTTATTTTCAAATATACGAAAAACCCGACAGTCGCCGGAAAACTATCAAGCACTCTATATAAATCTCATAACATGAGCTGATGGTTTGCATTAAGTGCAAAGAACATCAGCTCATCCAGCAAAAAAATATGTTCGCGTGTAACTTCCTTTTTTTTTTCTTTTTTTTTTAAACAAAAAAAAAGACGTAACAACCTTCAGTTTTATCGATTTTTCTGTAAAATTCGGTCTGGGGACTGGAGAGTGAAAAGTTGGTTTTGACATACCTTTGTAAATTTACATCTGTGTACAATTTCATCGAAATCGCTCAAGAAATGTGGACGCGCAAAAATAGCATATACATACAGAAACACATACAGACATATCCTGCTTTACACACCAACACACACTCGTACACACACACACCACACACACACACACACACACACACACACACACACATATATATATATATATATATATATATATATATATATATATATATATATATAGATGACCTGTAATCGCATAATTTAAGGCAAGTTTCGTATGTTGGAACATAGGATTGATAGATAGATAGATAGATAGATAGATAGATCGATAGGTAGAAAGAAAGAAAGGAAGAAAGAAAGGCAGAAAGAAACAGTTTAAGAGGGAACGATATGAGCCTTAAACATATATTTAACAATAAAAAATATATTGTGATTGATGAGTAGATGTAAACAGATACAAAAATATTACATTCTGAAATTAAATTAAATTACATATATATATATATATATATATATATATATATATATATATATATATATATGTGTGTGTGTGTGTATAAGTATGTATGTATGTATGCATGGATAATGTGAATGTGTAAACATGTATTTCGAAACAAAATCTTAAAAATACACACACACCCGTATATGTGTGTGGAGTGTGCACTTGTATGTGTGCTTCTGCATTTCTCAGCAAACATGCTATCATATTTCATTCTTTTAATCATCAAGTATATTGAGGCATGAAAAGCTTTTGATATCATTGCTGCTTAACTCCCCCACCTAGCCTACCCCATCTGTCGAAGCCAACTGAAGCGCCGTCGTCATATTTACACAAAATTATTTTCAATGCTTCTTTTTCAACATAACTTTTGTCTTTCTTACTCATTAAATGAAAAAAAAATATTTATCTTTTTAAATATCAAGTTCTATAGTGGTCGAAAACAATTTGCGACATTGGAGGAGGGGGATAAATATTGGTGTGAGTGTTCTACAACCTGCCGATTTTGTTTTCTTTAATTTAGATCTGGTTATATCGACTATATTCTTGACAAATATATCATTTGATAACATTTCTTTCGTTTATATTTTACACATTATGGAATGAGTATATATCCAAACGTGAATAAATATAAAATATCATTACATACACGACTCCATAGATAGTTATTTGCAAACTTAGATTGCTACATAGAAATATATATATATATATATATATATATATATATATATATATATATATTTTAAACATAAAACATTAGGCAGCATATGATTTACATACATAATTGTATGTGTGATTATTTCTTTGTATATATATATATATATATAGATAGATAGATAGATAGATAGATAGACAGATAGATAAGAAAAGCGCGGCATAGATAAACATGAGGAGCGTGACTGATATATATATATATATATATATATATATATATATATATATATATAAATAAATAGATAGATAGATAGACAGCGAAGAGAGATACATAAATATGAACAGCCTAACCGAGATAGATAGATAGATAGATAGATAGATAGATAGATAGACAGATAGATTGATCTGAATAATCATAGATAGATAGATAGATAGATAGACAGCGAAGAGAGATAGATAAATATGAACAGCCTAACCGAGATATATAGATAGATAGATAGATAGATAGATCTGAATCGACATAGATAGATAGATAGATAGATAGATCAATTTAAACCTACCGTGGTAGATTGATAGATAGATAGATAGATAGATAGATAGATAGATATATTGACAGAAATTGACAGATATATGCACTGAAATTTTCGATAGAAACATAGATCTGAATATATATATATATATATATATATATATATATATATACAGAAATAAATAGATAGATAGATGTTATCTTCTCCTGAAACACGCTAATAGCTTGGTAATGAAATTTAGGGTTTCTCGGTTTTCTGTGAATTGATTTTGATAAAAATTTTCGCATCTGGTTTACACAATATGGCAACATAATTGTTAGGTTTTCATTATTCTGTGTAATGTCCCATATATTTATTTCTGATTCCACAGATTTGGCGCGAACTACATTAATAGATTTGGGGAAGGAAATGAAATATCATGGTATATATCGTATCGAACATACCTTGAGTATATATTTAACAGAAACCCATATTAATATTAATTTGGTCACATGGGCATCATTTCGAGGTATAACTTCAAAAACCTTATTACTCATGGTATCTGTCAATTTTTTATCATAGCAGGTTGGACTGTTCCTGCTGCAATTGTAATGGTAGCCCATAAGCTATCTTTGGGCGAAAACTGACGTCCATTGGCATAAATATCTTGTTTAATGATGGGCCAAAGATTTTCGACACTTTTGAGAACCGAAGTAGCTGGCGGCTACACCATCAGCCTTTTACCTTGAATGCCGTAAACGACTATGCTTTGGATGACACTGGCAGAGTTGTAGAGAGTGTTGTATGAGTTCTTAGAAGAGACAGCGGTATGTAGTCTTTACATGGATTCAAGTTCACCTTTAGTTGATTGCAGTGGGCGGGTATAATCATTTTAAGGACTTCAGCCACTTGAGCCAATATGTCTGCTTCCAATGATAACAACCTCAACATGACTCTTCCACCTTGATGATGACATCGTAAACGTTGGTGACGCTTATCTCCGAAATATACCCAACCATTTGCTCAATCATCAGGTCCGTCAAGAGTCGCCCTGTTCACGTCAGTGAACACAACTCTTCAATTGGTCAATGCAGCTTCCACTACGGTTTTTATATTTCCGCCCGTTCGATATATCTGTATATTGTCAGTTGTTCTCTTTCGCTTTGGAAGTGTTCTCAGATATATATTCTTTACATCTTCATTTTCCTTTCTAACAGTGTCCCCTCCTTAGATTCCTTGCATACGGTTTATTTTGTATTGTCAGTTCTCTTACGTTTTTATTCATATCTGCTTTATCAGTAATAATCATTCTTTCTATTTCTGCATTTTCATTGAGACATTCCTCTTTTGCCTATCCGCATTCTGTTCTCATTTCTTCGTGTAGTACCCTATATTCTCTTCCGTGTCTTGGAAATTTTTGTCTCCTTTTCATCATTTCGAGAATTTAATTTGTCATCCATTCATTTTTGTCCGTATATTTTCTTTTGGCATGATCTCGGTTGCTGATGTTACTAAATCTTCTCTTAAAGTGTTGTAACTTGAGCTTCCATTTTCATTTTGTTTCTCGTATCTGGTTTACCAATGTCAATATATTTCTCTCTTCGTATTCAGTTCGTTCAAGAGCCTGTCATATTGCAGCCTGGTTGCTGCCATAGGGTTCTTCAATTTCCATAGTTTCTCTATCGCTATCCGTAGTTTATCGCTACCATAGTTGGCACTTGGATATGCTTTCTAGTGTAAAACTGCAATTCTGAATCTGTTGTTGATGTAGTCGATTTGCTTTTTGTTTCTCTTGGATTTTTTAATTTCGATGTTCTTCTTGACTGTTCTTGAAACCAAGTCTTGCCCAATACCTGTTCGTTCGCCGTAGGAAACTTATACAAGATAGTTTCTTCAAAATATTTTTTTATATTTCTTTTCCCGGAAATTCAAATGAATATAGAGAGCGTTATAACATTTTTTCTGCACGAAGTCATCTTCATTGGCGATACAAAACACGTCAACTGAACAATTCTAATACAAACACCAAACAATTCGTAGAACAAATAACTGGAAAGAAATAATCCAATCAAGATATTGATTTTTCACTCTAGAGACAAATCAGGTTCTGGAACAACGAATGCTAGAGAAAACAATCACAGTTACTTGACTAGAGAAGCATAATTCTTGAACTTTTTTAACGAAAATCATTTTATACAGGGTGCGATTCATGAATTGCCGTCTAAATTACGTAAAAATAAATAACGCCGACATCTCATTTAACAGATATATTTACCAAAATGAAACAAAAATATCTTAAAATACGAAAGAGTATATTTATTCAATAAAATCGCCATTGGCTTAAACCACGGCTTCAAGACGACTTCGCAATCTCCTTTAACTCTACTGGACAGTCTCCTTGTTCAAGTTGGTGAATGCTGCCATAATCCTTGCCCTCGGTTCTTTGGTCATACAAGGAGTTTTTTTTGTCTCTTGCTCAACTGCGCCCCACACATAATAATCAGTAGGGTTCCAGTCTGGGGGTGGGGCTTATGCGGCCAGATCTAAGTGATGAGGTCACAGATATTGTCTGGCAAACATGACTGGTTTCTTCTGCTTGTGTACCATAGTGCAGAATCCTTTTGCAAGATATAGGTACTTCCAGCAGCCAAACTTTTTACCCAGAGAAGCACTACTTCATCAAGCACTTGATTGAGGCCTCCTTTTTGAGTCTGATGCCCCGTGGGAAGATGAATAGAGGCATAAAGTCGCCATCAGTAGTTATCACTCTAAACACCTTCGTAATCACCATTAAACTCATACAACTCTTTTTTTTTCTTTTTGCACTCTCCTCAGATTAACACCTAAACACTCTAAAATAGTTGTAATGGAGCTTCCGGCACGAATGCCAAGCAGTATATCATACCGTTTAAAAATTTCTAGTGGAATGAATTGTATCATAATGCTGTTTTTTCCATAGACGATGCTCAACTGGCACAACTATACTGTACAATAAACAAAATAAAAAAAGAAACCCGTATGCGAGATATAAAAATATAAAATAGCGACAGTTTACCCCTTCGAACACCGTATGTTTCAACTGCTAACTTTTTTATCAATGCATGGTGGATATTTCTTGTGTGAAATCAGCTAATTTCTATTGATGTCACCATTTTCGATGCGTCTCAATTCTTGGATTGAAATATATTCAGAGCCGTCCACTTTTCAATATATGCCTCTACTACGTATGTTCTTTTGAGAAAGTGACTGGAGTCGAGATACCAAGTGAGGAATTATTACATTGCAGATCCTTCTTTAGATTTTATCGTGAACCTTGAGATGAACAGAAGGGAAACTAAACCAGATATGGCAACAGCACTCAATGCACCAGAGCAGATATGGCTACAGTACTCAATGTACCAGATCAGATGTGGCAACTATAGCCAATTCATCAGTCCAAATATGCCAACAGATATCAATGCACCTGACTAGATATGACAACAGTATTCAATGCACCAGACCAGATGTAGCAACTGTAGCCCATGCACCAGACCAGATATGAAAACAGCACTCATTCACAAGTCCAGATATGGCAACAGTTCTCAATACACCAGATCAGAAGTGGCAACAGTACTCAATACACCAGTCCAAATATGAAAACAGTACTCAATGTACATGACCCTGATATGGCAACATTACTCAATACACAAGTCCAAGTATTCTAACATTACTCAATGCCCCAGATAAGATATGACAACAGTACCGTATTCACACATATATACTGAAAAAGTATACGAGAGAGAGACGAAGATATTTCTGATTTTATATGCTAATATTAATTGAAGCTTTTAAATATTTTATTTATAATGCATAAACCGGGGTCGATGCTAATATATTTTCAATTGCATGAGGCAGAAAACGCTGTTGACAAGAAATAGATGTTAGAAGGTACATGTTACGCATTGTGGAAATCAGTATGAAGCAGATATATAGACTGAATTATCCGCGAAAGTATTATTAAGACAATATGCAACAGAAATTCCAAACTGCATATATATATATATATATATATATATTTCTCAAAAGGTTCCATTCAGTAAATAAGCTAATTATTAAGAGTTATAGTAAGAAACAAACACTGGGTGCTGAACTGCTATGTCTTTTCATATCCTACATGGCAGTGAATGCTGGAAAATATCTCCGGAAGTAAAAGAAGTGATTTCAAAGGACATAATACTGAGAATAAAATGGACATAATATTTGATCAACAAGGAAGATCATAGGAACCACAAGGAAAAGTATACTTACCTTCAACTGAAATGAGAAACAGAATGAGGAAAGACGACGTGGAGTAGCTAACACTCACAAGACATATTGAAAGCAAGAGAAACATGAGGAAAAAGAGAGTATGTGTCTTGTGAATGCAAAAGTGAAAAGTTACATCAAAGAAAAATGAAATTGTGGAGAATCAGGATAACCACAACATATAAAAGAACTCTTAGAATAATGTTTTGATATGAACAGACTGAAGATAGATAGATAGATAGATCGATAGATAGATAGATAGATAGATATATAGATAGATAGATAGAGTGTATGTAAGGGTGGAAACATTTTATTTTATTGCATTTCCACCTAGTGAATAAACATACTTTTCATATATTTATCTCTACACAGATGCATAATAACTAATTATGCATAGAAAACAGAAAAAAATTGATTTAATACAAATAAATCCCATTTAACCATTTTAATGGCTGAAAAAAGTATTCAAATTCGTGATTTTGAAACATTTAAATTGGTTTAATAATCTAGATTATTCAAGTGGAATATTCCGGAATGTTCTATTAATGTTATCAGCAGTTATTCTTAGCCTAAAAATACAAACAGAACATTCTGTAATTGATATCCGTGGTTTTCCAAGGATGATTTTATCAAGATATTCAAGGAAACTGATGCCTTAAATTAAAATCCAAAATGGTTACTCGTCAAGAGTTGCAGGCTGATTTGCTTTCATCAGGAATCTGTGTCACTAAACGAATAATAAGCAATGAGATTCATAGGAACAATTTAAAGCCCTCGGAAAACTCCGCTGCTATTGAAAAGTCACAGAGATGGCAGGTTGAAATTTGTTCGTGAACATAAGGATAAAGAAAAATCGTATCGGGAAAGAGTATTATTGGCGTAATTCTAGAAATCATGTATGGAGGAAAGATGGCGATGCCTTTAAAGAAAAGAACATAGTTCCAAAAGTGAAATATGGTAGTGGCATCATCATGGTTTGTAGATGTTTTTTCTGAAAAGGTTACTGGCAACATATCAGTAATAGATTGCAGAATTGATGCTGCAGCATTTTGGAAGCGATTTGAATGATATCGGTTGAAAACATTGAACTTCCATCTGATTAGATCTTCCATCAAGATAATAATCCTGAACACACTGCAAAATCTACGAAGAAATGGCTTGCAGAAAACATCCTGAAATGGCCAAGTCAGTCTCCAGATTCAAACACAATCAGGAAACTGAAGCGTTATTTGAAAATTCAAATACAATCGAGAGCTCCAACAAATATACCGAATCTGAAGATCATATGCAAAGAATAATGGAACAAAATACCTACTAATAAAATTAACAAATCATTTATGGGGAACTATATAAGAGGTTGATTGCTTAGAAGTTAATAATGGCTATTCTACAATGTATTAAATGAAGATTATATATTCTTTTTTGTGTTGTACGAATACTTTTTTCACCCATAAAAATAGATAAATGAGATTTCTATTAAATCATTTTTTCTGTTTTCTATGCATGTTTGTGCAGTTAATTTTGTGACATGTAAGTTTATTCATTTGTTGGAAATACAATAAATTAAAAAAAAAATGTATGTGTACGAATATTTGTTTCCCAGCATTGTATGTATGAACAGTTTGATAGATATGAACAGATAGATAGATAGATAGACAGAGAGACAGACAGAGAGACAAACAGATAGAAAGACAGGTGAGTGGAAATTTTATTTGGAAAGAATACAGGTACAATATAAATTTATGGTTTGCCTTCATGTTGAGACATTTTGTTATATTTAAGCTTTCATTTTTTTAAAAAAATATTTTCAGATATTTTATACTTAAATACCTAAAATCAATTCTTTTGCTGCCGATAACCCTCAATGATTTCCTTATCTCTATACTTCCTTCACTATTTTTTTTTTTACTTTGCTTTCCATTGTTGTTTTATTATCCTGTTTTATTAGAATTTCAAGTATTTGTCATGCTTTCCGTATATTATTAAATTCGGAAGGTGTCAAATATGGTTGCCTTTTTAAGTTCAATTTAACATAATCAATGGGGTTAGATTCAAGAACCGATTGCCATGGTTAAAGGATTTTTCCATTCATCCATGTCAAGCGACATCTTCCAGTCGTTCAGATACATTTCGAATCTATCATGTTTCTCTTTGAAACAATTTCTAAATGTAATTTTGGTTGATGTTGTTGGCGACAACCAGTTTTGAACTCGTCATAAAAAGAATATTTGGACATGCATACATATATACATATCCATTTGTTGGAAATAAAATAAATTAAAAATTTGTATGTGTACGAATATTTGTTTCCCAGCACTGTATGTATGAACAGATTGATAGATATGAACAGATATATATGAACAGATAGATAGATAGATAGATAGATAGACAAGAGAGTGGAAATTTTATTTAGAAAGAACACAGGAACAATGTAAATTTATGATTGTTTTTGCCTTCATATTTGAACATTTCGTTATATTTAGGTTTACATTTTTCAAAAGAAAGAAAAAAAACTATTTACAGCTATTTCTATACTTAAATACCTAAAATCTATTCTTTTGCTGCCCATAACCCTCAATGATTTTATTTTTATTTCCTTATCACTATGCTTCCTTCACTAATTCTTTGCTTTGTTTTCTGTTGTTGTTTTATCCTGATTTATTAGTATTTCTCATATTTCTCATACTTTGCGGATATTATTCATATTTTTCTCCCCTTTGTTCTTTTTGCTTCATAGAACATGTGCTATTCTATAAATATTTTTTCTGCTTTCTCTTTCATCCGCCATTACTTTTTTTATTTTCTGTCT